AATTGTTTTGAATGACAGATCAAAAGGATAAACAATGCAGATTTATTTTTACAGCCATCTTTGATCATATTTACCAGGGGTGCCAATAATTCTGACCACAACTGTATATTCCAGCACAGCGCTACAACAACCATAATGAAATGACCCTATACAATAGATAATTCTTTAGAATGAACTCTGTTCAAGAGCTACATAAGGGAATTTATGTTCAATAAAATATGAATAAAAACGCCATCTCCGCATCACTTTTACAACATTTCAAACATTTTACAACTATCCTCTGCCACTCCCACACCATAATGAATCAAAAACACGCTTTGGAAGAAGGATTGATGACTCATTTGAATAATAATAATAATAAAAAAATTACATAGAATACCTTTAAGCTATATTGAATAAAATAAGAAAAAACACTATATAGCTTTTATTAAAATATCATTCTTTCACAATGTACTTTTTTTTTTAAATGATTTAAAGCTGCAGTAGGGAGTTTTGAGAAAACGTTGACTTAGCCTGAAAATTTGAACAAGCACAACTTACAGGTCCCACCCCCTTGCTCTCTGCTGCGCTACAGCCCTCCCTCCACAGCTCGTCCTCCACAGCGGAGCCAGTCGTGAACGCGCAGGCTAGTAAACAGGGCCACCCGTAACGGCGGATAAAAAGTTATATGGCATATTCACTAATAGGGACTAAACGTCAATAATATGCTTTACATTGACTATGGCCTGCCCATACTTTGACTACAAACTTGGTCCTCAAATCATTATGTATTTTGCAATAGCCTACATGTAACTTTATAACGTTGCACTCTTTCTATAAGTTATAAATAGCTAGTAAGATAACGTTAATATAACGGTAACTAACGTTACAGTATGTAAGTAATTATTCTAGCGATATATAATGCTAGATAAGGTGTGCTAGTTCATTATTTCAGCAACATGACAAGCCAGTGAATTAGCAGGTTTCAATTGTTGCTTAGCAGAGTGCGTGACATTTTATCTACATGTTATGCGGCTAGAGTTTTGACACCGAGTCAATGGGCTCTGTGTAATTCTTTCTTTTTCGCTTGTTTATCGTCATCGGTCTTTTTCCTTTTACCTCTTTGTTTTATGAGCAGGTGTCACTCGAGAATTGGCAGTTTAGGTTGTTTCTCCGTCATAAGCACAGCTGCAGCTCGCCGGTGTGGTGCCGAATTCTGACCCCCGCCAAATTAATACCCCCCTAGTATGGTAGGTTTAGGATTAGTTGTGGGGGAGGGGTTAGGATTAGGGGTGGGGTTAGGATTAGGCAATCAGGTACTGATTTCAACGAGGGGGGGGGGGTAATAATTTGGCAGGGAGTCGAAATTCGGCACAACACCTTGAGTTTGAACGACGGCTCGCGCTCCGGCGCTCGCGCTGTGCAAGAGAGGGGTGTGATCAGCACGTACACGAGCGTGATTGACAGTGCTAAGACAGTCCTCCTGGCTCTGATTGGTTGTTTCTGACCGGGAGCGTGTATTTCTTGCAAATGGCAATAGGACCACTAGGAGGAGCCAGAGGAGCTTGATTTTTACACAGATTATCTGTCTCATATTCTACTGTCAGGACATAATGACAGTTCTAGCAAATACATGTTTTCAAAAGTTACCTACAGGAGCTTTAAAGCATTCTCTTAGAAAAGGATGAATTTTATTTGTGCCTGCACTGCATTTTTCCTATTAAAATAAACATTCATATAATCAAAAAACAAAAGATTTAAAACACTTTCTAAAAAGAAAATCCTTTAAATATATTCAAAAGAATGGTTCAAATTGAGGTAAATTTGTGGATAAATCTACATGATAATTTAACTTCGAAATGCATAAAAATCATAATGATCAAATTTTTTTGACAAAAGATATTGTTCTTGGCACATGAAACACGAGTGCTCTGAATGTGGTGTGGAGCAATTATATATACTTCAACTCCATAACATTCAATCCCAAAACATATTTAATGTTAACATATATGTTTTGAAAGATTAAGCTGTGTGCACTCAGTTATCTATACACATGACAGTACTGATAACAATGTCTTATTTGTTCTAATTTGAAACTAATTGTTTAAACATAAGAAAATAAATGAAACCACAGCAAATTAATAAATAAAAAAATTAAGTTGGACCAACATAAGAACATTTTGTTTGACAAGTTAAGTTAAACATACAAAAGTTAATTCATTTGACCTAAATATATATGTTGACCCAACTGATTTATTTAGAATTAAAGACCCAGTTCTGGCATGAAACTCTCGATGGCGCAGGCTGATAGGTCCTTAACTCGCCTGGTATCGATCACATCATTATCTACTCTGGACATTGCAGCTGAGTGCATCTACAGTGCAGCTGATGTTGCTTCAGAAACCCCCCAGCTCCACCTGTATTAACCCTGCTGCTACAGGGGTTAAATCATGTATGTTACTTGTACAACAGCAGCAGCATGTCTTACATGCTCACAGCAATGTCTGAGAATGTATTGGCAGTGGCACGTCTCTGTACTTGCTCTGCAGCGTATAGCAGATCTATTCCACATTAACATTGCCATATCCATTACCATGCCAATCTCTCCGAGAGCTGTCTTGACAGAACTTAAATTAAATTGTGTGTAAAAACTATGAAAGTTAAATTAAGGGTAACACATTTTTTTTAGTGTAATTTCAATAGATAACTGAGTAAATTTAAGTAATTGGCTGTTATGGCTGCTTTGCTTTGCCAGCAGCCATATCACCCTGTAGCCCAAGACTGGTTGCCCACTGAAGCTAAGCAGGGCTGAGCCTGGTTAGTACCTGGATGGGAGACCTGAGAAAACCAGGTTGCTGCTGGAAGAGGTGTTAGTGAGGCCAGCAGGGGGCGCTCAGCCTGTGGTCTGTGGGTCCTAACGCCCCAGTATAGTGACGGGGACACTATACTGTCAAAAGAGCACCGTCCTTCGGATGAGACGTTAAACCGAGGTCCTGACTCTCTGTGGTCATTAAAAATCCCAGTATGTCTTTCGAAAGAGTAGGGGTGTAACCCCGGCATCCTGGCCAAATTTGCCCAGTGGCCTCTGTCCATCATGGCCTCCTAATAATCCCCATATATATATATATACACTGATTGGCTTCATCACTCTGTCTCCTCTCCACCAGTAAGCTGGTGTGTGGTGAGCGTTCTGGCGCACTATGGCTGCCGTCGCATAATCCAAGTGGATGCTGCACATTGGTGGTGGTTGAGGAGATTCCCCCTTCTATGTGAAGCGCTTTGAGTGCTTAGAAAAGCGCTATATAAATATAATGAATTATTATTATTATTATTATTACTTAAATTCTAAACCTACTGTGATGAGGCTGATATTATGTAATGTAGCACATCCTGTAACCTATGGAAGCTTGTTTCCGCCACTGAATAAAAAATAAATAAATAAATAATTGCGACTTTTTCATCTCACAATTGCGAGATATGAAGTCAGAATTGTTTGAAATAAAGTCGCAATTGCGAGATATGAAGTCGCAATTCTGAGAAATAAAGTCGCAATTGCGAGATAAAGTCGCAATTGCGAGAAAAAAAGACAGAATTGCGACTTTTTATCTCACAATTCAGACTTTTTTTCTCACAATTGCGAGTTTACATCTCGCAATTATGACTTTATAACAGATAATTGCGAGTTTATATCTCGAAATTCTGACATCTTTTCTCAGAATTGTGAGATATAAACTCGCAATTGCGAGTTATCAGGCCAATTCTAAGGGGGAAAAAAGACTAACTTTTTTCCCCTCAGAATAGTTTAAATATCTCACAATTCTGACTTTATAACACGCAATTGCGACTTTATATCAATCAATTCTGACTTTATATCTCGCAATTCCGACTTTATAACACGCAATTGCGATTTTATATCAATCAATTTTGACTTTATATCACGCAATTCTGACTTTATAACACGCAATTGCGACTTTATATCAATCAATTCTGACTTTATATCTCGCAATTCTGACTTTATATCTCGCAATTCTGACTTTATATCTCGCAATTCTGACTTTATATCTCGCAATTCTGACTTTATATCTCGCAATTCTGACTTTATATCTCGCAATTCTGACTTTATATCTCGCAATTCTGACTTTATATCTCGCAATTCTGACTTTATATCTCGCAATTCTGACTTTATATCTCGCAATTCTGACTTTATATCTCGCAATTCTGACTTTATATCTCGCAATTCTGACTTTATATCTCGCAATTCTGACTTTATATCTCGCAATTCTGACTTTATATCTCGCAATTCTGACTTTATATCTCGCAATTCTGACTTTATATCTCGCTATTCTGACTTTATATCTCGCAATTCTGACTTTATATCTCGCAATTCTGACTTTATATCTCGCTATTCTGACTTTATATCTCGCAATTCTGACTTTATATCTCGCAATTCTGACTTTGTAACACGCAATTGCGATTTTATCTCGCAATTCTGACTTTATATCTCGCAATTCTGACTTTATATCTCGCAATTCTGACTTTATATCTAGCAATTCTGACTTTATATCTCGCAATTCTGACTTTATATCTCGCAATTCTGACTTTATATCTCGCAATTCTGACTTTATATCTCGCAATTCTGACTTTATATCTCGCAATTCTGACTTTATATCTCGCAATTCTGAGAAATAAAGTCAGAATTGTGAGATAAAAAGTCGCAATTACCTTTTTTATTTTTCATTCTGTGGCGGAAACAAGCTTCCATAGTAACCACATATTTATGATTGGTGATAATAGTTTAAGAATTTAACTACTGACAACCTATACTTGTATTTAAACCCATTAAAACTATTCAAAACCATATTTGTTGACTGCTGAATATTGGGGGATGCATCACCAGCAAAAATTCATCAGTAAGTAAGTGAAGTGACCAAAAAAAGATCAAATCTTGAATGTTTCAGCACAATGGCAGTTTTCCGACCATGATCCATAATCCATAAATTTCTCATGTATTTACAACATACTTAGAAAATATATAATGTAATTTATTCATTTGGTTAATTCTGGTTTTCACGTACAGAAGTTTATCATCACATTAAAAAACATACAGATGTGCGCTTCCATTCTGGACGACCCATCAATGCTTAGCTTATTGTGTTCATTTCACAGGGTCTTTGAACAGAAGCCGAAATCACCTCTGAGTCTCTGAGCCCTTTTGATCAAAAGCATTTTAGTAGCTCGTCCAGTAGATGTAGCCATTGAAGTCTGAGTAAGTCTTAAGAACACAGGCTAAAACAATAAAAACATTAAGGCATGAAATGGTTACCTTTCCCTTGTAATTCTCATAAAAATCCCTTATTCGGTGCTCATTGTTTTGTCCATGTATTTAAAATATGCTTCCTTCAAAAGACATTCCTGGCATGTAGTAGAAGTTCCTTAAACATTTCCCGTCACGTCCTTACAAGAACAATAAAAAAAATCTGTTTCCTTGACCATCACTCAAATTCCAGCAGAGTAGTTTCCCATTGGTTTGTGCTGATGAAGGGAGGGGCCACAGGTGGAGGGGGCGGAGCATCTGCTTCATAACTCGAAGAGAGGATGAAAAGGAGAGGAGGAAGTGATCAGCTATAATAAAGGAGAGTTCGTGAGCAGCCACAGAGGAGATGTGCTGATGGAGAGGTTATCACAGAACCTGTGTGAGGATGATGATGATGATGATGATGAGGACAACAGCACCAATCACACCAAGTATGATCATCTTCTACAAAAGACGACACAAACACAATCCATTAATCCAACAGCAAACATCTAATAGCTTCAATCCATCACTATCAGATCAAACAACAAAGCCCTACAGAACCGTAACACACAGAGAACATAGAAATAAACACTACAACCAAACCAACAGATGCCCCAAAAAAACAAACAACGCATGCTTGACATCCCAGAGGAAGACAAGAGAAGATCAACTAAAATCCTGGTAATAAACAAACACCGACACCATTCCTAGCTCCAAAACCTTACACACGATCCTCTGAAATTTACTCACCAGAGACTTTATCTCAGACCTACAGATAAACCCACAATCAAGGCAATAATTGCCAAAATCGCCACAACCACAGACACTATAATGATTGTTTTCTGTGAAGAAAAAAACAACAGATGTACACAACTGTTAGCATCTACTTGAACATTTGCGTAACAATTAAACTCATTCAGACATAAACTGACACAGATCCACTGACATTCATTTCAGGACTAAACTTGCATTCATGGAATAGACAATGTCTAGAAAACTGGCATTAAAGAAAGAAAGAAAGAAAGAAAGAAAGAAAGAAAGAAAGAAAGAAAGAAAGAAAGAAAGAAAGAAAGAAAGAAAGAAAGAAAGAAAGAAAGAAAGAAAGAAAGAAAGAAAGAAAGAAAGAAAGAAAGAAAGAAAGAAAGAAAGAAAGAAAAAAAGAAAGAAAGAAAGAAAAAAAGAAAGAATTAATGATTTTTTTACTTTGTTTGTAAAATTTAGATTTTGATTACTTCTGTGTTGTTTGTTGTACTTTTGTCTTTGACTTTATACATATCTCTTTAATGAACTTGTTTATATAATTTGATGCTGTTTGTTTTCTCTATTACTATACATTTAAAAGGGACAGTTTACCCAAAAATGTAAATTCTGTCATCAATAACTCACCCTGTATGACTTACTTTCTTATTTGGAACACAAAGGAAGATATTTCGAGAAATTCCTTAGTGTTTTTTTGTCTATACAATGGAAGTCAATGGGGTCCAATGTTGTTTGGTTCCCAACCTTCTTACAAAAACATCTTCCTTTTTGTTTAACAGAAGAAAGAAAGTCATACAGGTTTAAAACGACATGAGGGTGAGAAAATTATGATAGAATATTAATTTTTGGGTGGAGTGTCCCTATAAAATAAATGTAAAAATCTTAAAAGAGCACAAAAATAAACTTCTTGTACCTGTACAACTGACATTAAGAGACGTATTTTTATATACATGCACAGATGAATCATTCACAGTAAGGACTGTGAATTGAGCAAATAGTGTCAGTTTAGGTTTCATGTTGAACTTAATGAATTTCCTGATACTGTTCTCCCATCCCCACATCATTTCCTGTATTTTCTATACTATCTGTATCAATAAAAGTGGCAAAAAGGGCTAAAATTGCCATGCTAACACATGGAGGCACGGTAAGCTCTCGCTCGCACCACAAGATGCCGTTTGTCCTCACGTTTCAACACAGTTCTTCTCAACTATATGTATGTGTTTGTAATATGTCAAATATTTCGTTGCCAACTAGCCATTAATATGAAATGTAAACTGACGACGTGGCTTAATGTTCATTTCATTACCTGAAATACGCTGAAATCCTGTAATAGGAAGTGTCAGGGCGTATCAGGATTAGTATTAATCACGGAGTTTCTTTGTGTGACTCTATGTGTAACGTCATAGGGTTTGGACACAGTACGGAGAGTCTTTAGGGAAGGGTGGAACAGAGGGGCGGGACGGGCTGATAGTCATCATGAACTCACACGCCGAGCCTCCTGCTGATATTTAGCAGCTTTTTTAGTGTCAGCAACCGCCCGCTCCACAAAGCCAACTGACTGGTCCATGTTGTTCTCAATCCTTTCAATCATACCACCCTACAATGGATTTCGGGTGAAGAAGAGAGAAGGAAAAAGAAAAAGAAGAGGAAATAGAGAGAGAGAGAGAGAGAGAGAGAGAGAGAGAGAGAGAGAGAGGGGGGGGGGGGGGGGGGGGGGGGGGGGGGAGCAAAAAAGGAAGAGAAAAGAAACAGCAGAAACCAGCGACTGTTATTGTAAGGTCAGCTTGAGCGGCAGGTGAGATCTGTACCTTCCTGGATTTACTCTGATACTTGACTGCTTTCTTAGTTTCAGCCTTTGCAGCTTCAACGTGATCGACTGCTTTACCCACATTCACTTCAATGTTATCAACCATGTTGCCCTGAAACATATAGGGGGAAAAAAAAACAATGAAAACACATATAGGGTGTCTTTCACACATAGATGTGAGGACCGGGGCTAGTTGACACACAGGGAAGTTATTTCCGATCCTAGACTTAAACAGTCAATGTGTTTAATGAACTGGAACTTGTTTCCTGTACAATAATGCAGAAATGTTCAATATATTTTTTGGTCGAGACTTTGGCTATATAGCCCACCCTGAATCACTGGAGTAAAAAGTGTGACAACTAACCCCGGTCTCCCCTATACACTCTGTAGAACAGGGACTTGAATAAAATGGATTAATTAGAGAAATACCACAATCTTACCTTTCAGTTATCCTCCATAGTAAGCAGTTAAGCAAAATAATGGTGGATCGGTCAAAATAGTATATTATAAATATATATGGTACAGGCTCGAAAACCTTGTGAACTGCAAAGGTCTACATAGACAGCTGCCCTTTAAGGAACTAATAAGTAATTGATTTGAAACGCGCCTCAGCAAATTATCACTCATGCACGAATTATATGCTACCGTTCAAAGTTTTTTTTTTGAAGAAGGTAATACTTTTATTGAGTAAGGATGCATTAAATTGGTCCAGAATGACAGTAAAGACATTTATAATGTAGCAAAAGATTTCCATTTCAAATAAATGCTGTTCTTTTGAACTTTCTATTTCTCCAAAAAATCTGAGAAAAAGTGTGTCACTGCAGCAACAACAGTTTTCAACATTGATAATAAAAAGAAAAATGTATCGTGCTCGAGTCCGTTCACGTCCTTGGACTTATACGTTTATATGGCAATGCTATCAAAGCCAAAATTAATCTGCATCAGTCAGGTGGTACAAGTCGGAGGTCTCCGAAAATACAGAGATATACAAGTAATATACTTAAATATGCTATAAATAATTTTACATTTAGCATTTTACTTGATTCTGCCCTCCATTTCTTTCTTAAATGACAAATGCAATTCTGCATTACATGTTGACTGAATTGATGTATCTTATATAATTATGAAGTATAGATTTGCTGCCAACTGTTCACCTTTAGTGTTTCTATGGCCCTGTATACGGATCGGATCACAAGTAGACGGTGTAAACATGGGTCTAAAACGTTTTGAGCTCATTTTGTCCATAAGATCGAAAGATCTGAAAAAGCCCATAAAAGTACCACCCATAGACCAGAAGTGGCTGAAAGTGGACAAAAGAGATGGATTAAAACACCAGGTGTAAATGTGAATATGTCTCCCTTTGTCTACTTGTGATCCGATTGACCAAAACACATCTTGTTACCAGGTGTAAACAGGGCTTATGATGCTTAAAATGTTGTCTAGATAAGCAGCTCGCAGGGTTTTGGAAAACAGCTATTGACAATTTCTTCTAAACAAATCTTGGAGGTGTAATGGGTGAATAAAGTAAATAAGGCAAAAATGAATGAGAGGAAAACAGGCAGTAAGGGAAATAAAAAGGTTCGAACAAAGAGGAGTTAAGAACACTCACATGTGAAAGAAGGGGCTGATGGGAAGTCACTCCGACCTGTTGCATATGGCTTAGCAACCAAGAGACCAAACCAACAGAACGAGTTTGAACAAAGAGGAAGAGGGGAAAGGATGCTACAGACCAGACATAGAGAAGCAGAGAAAGAGAAGGAAACACATGACAATGAGGGGAAAGTTAGAAAACAATGGCAGTGTGAAAGGATGGAGAAAATATTGGACAAACAGTGTGATGAAAGTGTGTGTACCTGGCTCTCCACCAGCATGGCGATGTCCACAAACATGTCATGCAGTTCCTTTATGCTGCTCTCCAGGCGCACAATGTCTTTGTGACGCGCTTCAATCTCACTCAGCGCTTGTTTAGAGATCCCTGAATCCACGATCTACAACACAAACAGCCGTTTTATCAGGATGTAGTATGAAATATTCATATTCAACAGATTTTGGGATTACTTGGTCTCGAAATATTATGGTCAGGTTATGGTCTAAGACAAGGGTCTCAAATTAAGAGTGTTTTTCACCATCAGTGACCAGTTAACAACATGTTCCTCAGATGTAACCAGTGTTAAGAGAACACTGCTTTAAAAGCAACATGTTACACTGTTATTTCTAATAAAAAGTAACCCTTGTTACTTCATATGAAAATTATTGTGTTTGCATTACATTTGCATTATAAAGTACGTGGGTGGGCTACTTCTGCATTGATGCTATGAGATAAGGGTGTATTTATACAGCAACCACAATCACAGGAAACAATGAATCACTCAAATGTTACATTTGTGACAAAATATTGCAAGATGGGCCGGCCAGAGTCAACATATTTTAATAATAAAAAATTTTTTACGGGAATACCATTCTTTTTAACCAATGAATTTTTACATTGTTTGTGATTTATTGGATAAGGATTCTATCTCAGTTTCTATCCAATAAAATATTTTAGAGCTAGACATAATATATATATACATATTTGTTATAAAAAGCGGTGTTTTAATATTTTAATAATTTACATGACTTATCCAGGTCTAGAAATCACACTTTTAAAACTAAGCTGCCTCATATATCCATGTTTTTTCCAAGGCTGTTGGAATCCTTGTTCTTCATAGAACTGTATTAATAAGAGGGTAAAATAAAATAAGAAATATGTTGATTTGTAGTTGTTTTTAGCATGTTTTAAATCAGGATGCTGATATTTAGAAGGCAGCTGTCTGACTCTGAGATGGAGAACGAGAGCATGGTTTGTGTAACATTAGATTACATTGATAATGTAATCATGGCATCATCAGCATTAACAAGTGCATGTCCATCAACAAACCGATTATTTTACTTGTACTTATTTATTTACAGAGTATGTTTCTAATTTATTGCGTGAACATGTGGGAACTGTATCAATAACAGCGCATACATTAGCCAAGCTCTAGCGTGATTGACTGATGAAACAAACGTTGGTAAAACAAACCTTGCTCCATGCTTAATCTTTCCTCAAAGTAGTGAGAACGACAGACAATCTGCATTAATAGACACAGTTTTTGGTAATAGTGGCCCACAGCTGATCAGCAGAAGTATTTCAGTAAGACAGTGATAATGTTAGTTAGCCAGTTAGTTAGCAGGAGACCTACACAATATAAAACTCAAAACTAAGTAATTTGAAAAGCATCTTTCAAGAGCAAGCGGTTTGCGAATCCTGCATTGAACTCCGAGATTTGAGAAGCAGTCGTCAGTAAAATAAAGGGAACACAGCAAAAGTTTAGGATTATACTGCTGTGGTATCGTGGTAAAGATGAATTTTAACCACTGATTCTTCACATGCTCGTCCTTGGGGAGTGGAAAAAACTGGCTTTACCTTCACATAGTAGAGCACAGCGTCTTCTCGACATGATGCTATTATCCAGCATCCACAGGAATCAGCTGCCGGTTTGAGGGTTCAAGTTTTCCCTGGTGTCTGCGCACGCAATAAGTGGGCGAGCAATATGCTGCTAATATTTCGTCTTGATGTCACAACGAAACTGCTTATAACTCGTTGACTCAGAGAGTCGACTCTTACTTTAGAAAGACAATAACTTCATATACGGTGCACTTTCAGATTTAAAACTTTGCACGATGTTTTTATTCACTTAGAGCTGTTACACACTACATGAAACGTCATTTTCAAAAATAATAGGGGCACTTTAATAGCATCTACACTTTGTTAATGAGTGGATTTGAAAGCTGAACAATTACTCCAGCATTTTGACCGCCGAGTGGATTCTGATTGGTCACTGCATTCAAGAGATCAGCAAACATGTCTGTGATTGGCTATATTGATCACCGCTGCAAAAACACGTAGTAAATAGAATCATTTAACATTCTTCAGAGCGCAAACAAATACGCACTGGAGGGTTTACCAAATATGTTTTGTCGATATGATATTATAACAGTATCAACTGAAGGTGCTCTTGCTTTCGTTTAAGAAAAGAAAGCACCCCCGTAGAACCGGGCCTGACTGTATTATTCGCTCTTCCTCTTCTGAATCAGTCTCTGGTTCAAACATGTATGGCTGAATTACACCAATATTTCCACTTGAGCGAGTGGATCAAGTATCGTGAGTGAGCGGAGGCGGGGATAATTGACATATTATTCATGGATCTGCGTATACTAATTGAAGCAAAGCTGTAGAGTTACATTAAGACTATTTTAAGGCATGAAGAAATTATTTTCAGAGGGAAAAAAACATATAAATATTCCATTTTGAATATCAAAGATGAGTTTTAAAGTATGAAATTATTGACTGCAGGGGGACTTTAAATAATTTTAAGTCATCTTGAGTTCCTCTAGAGGGTAACCCTATTGAGAACCACTGCTTTGGAATATGGATCACTGCACTGTCCATGGGAAAACGGTTTGAATTGTTGGTCTTGACTCCTGCTCGGCCCCACACACACACACACACACACACACGAAGGCACGTATTACCCCTGCAGTGAAAACGGCTGCGTTTCCTCCCTCCAGCATCTCCTCCAGCTCCTCATCAGTTGTGGCTTTACCAGCTAGAAGCAGAACAAAAGCAAGTCAAAGACAGAAAAGAGGAATAACACAGCGTCAGTTTGACACGTTTCAACCGCAAGCCCGAGAGAGAAACGTGTTGTGAGCTGCACACTGTTTTGGTGAGGTGATATTTAATAAGGTCTCATGCACTGGTGTTTAGTCAGGAGTGAGAGTGCGGGCGACACTTACTGATCTCTAATTGTCTCTGAATGCGACCTTTGCTTTTCTCTCTGAAGTCCACCTGAGCTTCATTGTATTTGGTCATCACATCAACAAACTTCCTGGAAAGAACAGCGTGCTGGCGGGGCAATATGAGAGCAGAGTTAATTGAGCGTGTGTATTTGTGTGTGTTATGTGAGCGGGATGTTGACTCACCTGTGATTTGCGTATTCTCATGTCGGCTGATACTCTTTCTGCTTCTTCTGCCTCGAGATTCCTTTCAATGGCTGTACGGACACATTCACACAGCGCAGGGTTACTATAGTTAACTACAACTAAAACTAAAACCATTAAAAAAAAACATGTTCAGTACTTTAAATAAAATAAACGTCAAGTAAATAAAATGAAAATAAAAGCGAATCCAGATATTTAATAAAACTATATTAGTATCTCAATGATACTGAAATAACATTGACACAGGGTAAACTCTGCATTAAAGGTGGATAAATGGCTCACATTATTCTGGGTCAGATGTGTTTGAAAAGCCAAACCTTTTTATGTGTGTCCTAATTCTTTGCCCTAATATAATGGGAAAAGCACAAAGCAGGCCAGCACACATGTAAGGACACTTACTCTTGAGTTTGTTCCGAGCATTGTTGGCCATTTTCTTGATGTCGTTAGTAAGCGCCTCCAAATCATCCTGTGTCTCTGTTCACAGAGAAAAAAAACTGAAGTTAAGGGGAGGTATAAGAATGGAGAGATGAAAGGAGATTAAAACGCCACTGGTTTGTGTATGTTCTGTCATTGTTAAACACTCCCATTGGGATATTTTATTGCTCAGAGGTTCCTCTTTCACAGCTTAGGAGACTTAATGGAGTTACGTTTCATATCCGGCTCAGCAAGGGAATTGAAAGAATTTAATGTTTTTTAAAAGAAGTCTCTTGTGCTCATCAAGACTGCATTTATTTGATCAAAAATACAGTAAAACTGTAATATTGAAAATGTGTAAATACAATTTAAAATAACTGTTTTATATTTAAATATATTTCAAAGCTGAATTTTCAGCATCATTACTCCAGTGTCACATGATCCTTCAGAAATCATTCTAATATGCTGATTTGATGCTCAAGAAACATTTATTATCATCAATGCTGAAAACAGTTGAGCTGCTCATATTTTGGGGAAACGGTGATACATTTTTTTGAACATAAATAATATTACTTGAACCGCATTTATTTTAAATAGAAATCTTTTGTAATATTATAAATGTCTTACAGTCAATTTTGATCAATTCAGTAAATCACGAGCAGAACTTTCCACTCCCATCTGTGCTTTTATGGGATTGCGCTCTCACGATAATTTGCCCCGTTTAGTAAATCTGGCCCTTAATATTCATCAAAAAGAACCTTTTGAATGGCGGTGTATCAATTTTCGCTCAAATGTTTCTTCAAAACCCCATTAAATTAGACAAATTTATTTCTCAATATTCATTTAGAAATATTGTATTGTTCATTGTTAATTAATTGGAATTCATAATACAACTAATTATCTAAGATAATGTAATAAACAACTTGAAATCTATTAGTACATAAAAAAGTAACATTAAGCAATATTTACAAATGGTGTAATATTTTTAAAAGTTCATGTTAACTATTGCACTAAACAATGTTAATGTATTAAATAAACCTTATTAAGAAATTCCATCAAAGACCTTCGTTCTTAAGACAGCTTAAAAAGTTTGGAGTATCTAAAGTTTGTATGTTAAATTTGTATAGAGCTGTGACTGAAAGTGTACTGACTTCCTCAATTACAGAGTGGTTTGGCAGCTCCACCGTTCAGCAGAGAAGTCAGATCAGTAATATAGTGCGGTCTGCCTCAAAATATTATAGGTTAAGAAGATCTTCTCACTATTGATGACCTTTATACGTTTTGATTTTGTAGCATAATAGTAGGCAAGCTTTGGGACGTACTACTTTGTCATAATTGTGCCGTTGATAAAATCCTCCACATTCAATTGAATTTAATTTCCTAGCATTTCTGAGAGAAATACAGTAGCATGTTGATCTGCCAGTCGTGGGTCTTTCATGCGGAGACTCTCCTTGTGTTTGCAATTTGCATAATGGCGCATTTATAAGTTAATGACCAAACGTATCTTTACAAAAGCTCCCAATGCTGTCTTCGGATAACATGTGGATAACATATACATTTCTTTTCATCTGGTTAGACTGATTATTAATCACTCAAACCCCTTTATCTAAACCTCTCTACTTAACCGTCGGACATCCGCCATGTTTGTAGTTTAACGCTTTTTATTTGTGGTTGTAGTTCTAGTCGAATCCTCGTCCAAAGCGCAATGGGTTGTGGGTAATATTAGCCGTTAGATCCACAGATCTGCACTTCAGATTCTTACCGGAAAGACCATCCGGGTATCTTTGGAAAACTCATTTCAACATACTACGATTTGGGACACACTGATTCTAATTTCGAATACTATTTAGGACGAAAAGTATGCGAATTGGGACGCACCTGTTACTCAGCGGTTACTACCAGTCAGTGGAAAACAGTGTTGAACTGGTTCATAATGAGTGCGCGTGTGAACGTGTCTTACTCTGGTCTGATGTTGGTGCAGAAAGAATAACTGAGAAAAGTTTCTTCACTTCGGTCACATTCTCATCAATCTTATCAATGCTGTTCCTGATGTCTTCGATCTGAAACAAAGAAACAAGGTCACTTAAAACGCACAAACCACAATGACACACATTCAGGCAAAGCACATCAGAAGTATTTACACAAACACGAAACAAGGTCACTTCAAACGCACAAACCACAATGACACACATTCAGGCAAAGCACATCAGAAGTATTTACACAAACACGAGTGTAAAATATACAGAAGAACCTGCCTGGCCGAAGAACTCATCCATAAAAGCAGCATTGTCCACAGCGATCTCAACATCCTCGTCATCATGATCGCATGTCTGAAACAAATATCACGTAAAGACGTAAGGAAATGTCAGTTGTGTTTTTAATGATCTCATGCTAGCTTTTTACACACCAGTCCACCCTTATGACTGGTAAGTAACTCACTGTCAATAATTCACTGTCTAGAAACTAAATTACAATTTAGTACAAATTTGGAAAGATATTTAAACTCTATTGATTGCATATCTAGTGGAGTAACCCCTGAAAATGACCGGTAATTTCCTGGCTTGGGAATTCCTGAGCCAATCAAAATAACTGATAATCAAGAGCTTGCTGTGGCTAAACACTAAAAGTTAACACTAAAAGTTCAAAAACGTATGATCTAGACTTTATTATGCATTAAGGCAGTGTGGTCAAGTCTTAAAGTCAGCATGAAATGGAAGTTGCGATAGTGTTTTTATAGTTGCTTTTAATGTTTTCCTTTTCTTCAGTGTTTGATGTATGTGTTTCTGCATGTATACAAACTGCAAAGTTACAAAGCTCATAGTCTCCCACAAAGCGATTTATTCTATCTAAAGGCCGGGACACACCAAGCCAACGGTCGGCCATATGCGCGCGTCTGTCGGGCTAGTTTTTGCGGTGTGTTCCACACGTCGGCGCTCAGTTTGGTCTGGGCTTGGTGTGTCCAAGGCTTAAACAGAGAAACCTGATCCAGACTTGCCAAAAATGCCTCAATCGAAGTCCAGATATTTCTTCCTCAAAACGTCCATGTCACAAATGTGAAATATTAGCATAATGCCTGCCCAAATGCATATGCAAATAAACGCTGTTCCTAAACAGTACAACAATAAAATGTAGCTTATTCTCATGAACCTGGAAAATACAACATCGGCTATATACAAAGAAGACTACTTACTAATGCGAAACGTTCTGCTCAAGTCATGCTTGATCCTCCAACATTTTCACAATCTGACTTCGGCTCGAAATGATACGGTAAAACCAATAATATTATTAAAGGGGTCATATAATGGTACATGCACTTTTACAACCATCATAAAATGATAAAAATCCATCCAGTGTTTTTGTTTTAATCTCCTTATATGTTTTTCCCTGCCTCAAATCGAGCCGTTTGAGCGTGAGACGTCACACAGTCGGACGCCCCTCCCGCGATTGTTGGTTGACAGCAGCGTTTCAACACAGACCCGCCCTCGCTCGTGAGTGAGCTGTCAATCATAGTCTGTGCGGACATTGTTGATATGCTGGAGCACTGTCTATGAGCAGAATGGCGTCTAAGCGATTGTGGTGTTCTGTTCTTGGGTGTAATAACGAACACAGCAGTCATTTTAATATTCCTAAATCTGAACCGCTGAAGACGCAGTGGCTGAGTTTGTTTTCGAAGGGAATATTCCCCACGAGCAACGTCAATGCTTTCATGTTTGCGCGAATCATTTCTCAGCAGACTGCTTTATAAACGAGGGTCAGTATAAAGCTGGATTTGCTAAGAAGCTACTCATGAAAAAAGGATCGGTACCAGATATTCGTGTTCCTGCTGAACCTCTAGAACAACTGAAGTGAGTGTAACGTTTTATTAAACTTTATATTAATATTTATATCTTTGCAAATCGCTAGCTGCACGCTTCACAATGAATGCGTCTAAGGTTTACACTTCGGGTACATTACGGCATGTTTTCTATGTATGATGTTCTCAATATAATTCATAATCCCACGTTTATAATGAACAACGCGTTATGGTTATTGTGTTATTGAGTTACAAACGGTGTACGCACAGAACAGAGAGGCGGGGTGAGCAAAGCTCATTATCATTTAAAGTTATGCACTGAAACAGCGTGCTGAAAACAGAGCTGTTTTTGACCAAGTAAAATAAGTGTTTTCTTACAATACTAATGAGAATTTTTAATTAAAGTATATTACAAACTTTTAATTTAGACCCTAAAGAATCATACTAGCTTGTACAAAAATGGCATTATATGACCACTTTAACTGTGTGACTGTTTACAATTGCTGTAGAAGCCTTGCAAGCTGAAGCTCGCGATTATGTTAAGGGGTGTTACATTTCTGACACACTTTGGAGAGCATCAACGGTTTCTATTTACAACGTGTTTTTGCAATGTTGAGCAGTGTAGCCAATCACAGACATACCTGTTAACAATGGCCAATCAAAAGTGTTTCGGAATACACTCTCCACTCAAAACGCCAGCATTTCTGTTCAGTGACATGCAGCCATATCACCCTGTAGCCTAAGACTGGTTGCCCACTGAAGCTAAGCAGGGCTGAGCCTGGTTAATACCTGGATGGGAGACTCCTGGGAAAACCAGGTTGCTGCTGGAAGAGGTGTTAGTGAGGCCAGCAGGGGGCACTCACCCTGTGGTCGGTGTGGGTCCTAATGCCCCAGTATAGTGACGGGGACACTATACTGTCAAAGAGCACCGTCCTTCGGATGAGACGTTAAACCGAGGCCCTGACTCTCTGTGGTCATTAAAAATCCCATGGCACTTCTCGTAAAGAGTAGGGGTGTAACCCCGGTGTCCTGGCCACATTCCACCCATTGGCCCCTGCCAATCATGGCCTCCTAATTATCCCCATCCACTGAATTGGCTCTATCACTCTCTCTCCTCTCCAACTATAGCTGGTGTGTGGTGAGCGCACTGGCGCTGTTGTACTGTGGCTGCCGTCGCATCATCCAAGTGGATGCTGCACACTGGTGCTGGTTGAGGAGAGAACCCCTGATATGATTGTAAAGCGCTTTGGGTGTACAGTATTACATATGAAAGCGCTTTATAAATGCCTCATTCATTCATTCATTCAGTGCAGAGTTGTGCACGTTCACAAATCCTCTCATTATAACAAACTAATTTTGGACATTATGTAAATAAGAGATCCATTGAGCAGTTGACTTCATTGATTATAACATAACTTTGTGAGATTACGATGAACTAAGACGAGTGACAGCTTTTTAGTGATTATAAAGGGAGCACTCTTTTTTTTCTGTTCAAATTAACAGTGGTTTCTTTAATAGCAAATCCTTTCTCTGAAGCGATTATGCTGGGATGTGTAGGTCGTCCAGGCGACAAGTAACTTGAAACTGTTTCATGGAAATCTATTTAAATGTGTTTTTAAAGGGAAAGTGCATCTCATTCCTTAGCCTTACCCTGGAGTTGGTTCACCCTCAATAATCGAAATAATGAACTTTTAAAATAGCTGGAATATAACATCCCACATGAATAAAGCTCAAGTCATATTACGATTACAGGTTCTTTTTTTCATATTTTTTACTTAAACAGAATATGGCTTAAAACATAAATAAAACATCTTATTACTTAAAACATAGACAGAAAATTGCTTTAAACGTCATATCGTTGTTTATAGCATATGATCCTGATTAAAACAAATCAGCACAAAACATGTCTTACATGCACATTACAAAAACCACAACAACAAAAAAACAATTATAAATTAGTTTACAATCATCTGCTTTAATTTCACTATCTGTGTAACCATAATCAGGGCACTCAAGTGTCACTCATTTCGGTCTTTTGTCACGCACTCCCGCCACACATTGTATTTCTCACGCTGAAAAACTATTTATAATATATTTAATATGCCGCAGCGCCCAAAATTTCTCTGGCCACGTCGCTCTCACTATGGAATCAGCAGGAATCAAGCGGGTCTCCCCCGGAGTTCTTAGTCGAGCCTGCCACTTATCAGCCAATCAAAAAAAAGAAAGGGGTTATACAATAGCCAATCAGAAAATAGCACTATTGTATCTGGGACTGGGTAAGATTCAAGATAAGTCATCATCTCCTGTTTTAATGTTATAAAAAATTCACAACTTGTTGGACACAAACAATGACAACTTGACTGATGTTAGAGAATGTTTCCCAGATAATTAGCCACCGATATAATTTTCACCTCTTATTCCAAGTCAAGTCGTAAGTTTATAGTCTAGCTCTCTTTAGATTTGGGTTCTGTTTAGTTAATGGGCTTTGTTATTAAACTGCACTTTACGATTATGGCTGTTAACTTGATCATGTCACATGAACATCTGGTGTTACAGGCCTCTGCTGACAAGGCACAATGTAAACTGCCCTGAAACAGTGGCAAATCTAGACTTTTATTGCATGTAAAGTCTTCCTAAATGGACAACACGGCTCTCTATAAAAAATCCTTACCAAAGTAAGTAGGGTCAATTGTGATTTTGTGCAATGTTAGCAGCAATGTTACAGCTGACTTGCGCAGCACTTTATAAGGACAGAGAGGTGTGTCTTGTGATGTTTTATGAGGAGCATGTGGAGACTAGTACTGTTTTCTATTTTAATAATTGCTTTACTGTCAAATGACGCAATTAAACAAATTAACACCGTCATAGAACAGCGCTTCGTGCATGATAACATTATAACTCAAATGTCAAAAGACACGAGGGTTAAAGTCTGAGTGAAATCACACCTTCTTTATGACTACTCAAGGATTTCTCTACAGTCATCAAACTTGCGGCTCCGTCACTTCACCACAGAGAAGCCAAACACACACACACACATATCTTTGTATCTCTGTGAAACACTATATGAAGCTCAAACACTTTAACTCATTCAGCATTTCTAAGGGATCAAATGACACATTTAACTTTTTTACAAAAATCGTACCACGGTATCCAAGGTTTCTACCAAAATATAAGTAGTTATATTTGCTTCAGTAAAATTGTCATTAATATGCAAAATTTTACTGCATACTTTGTCATTTGATATCATTTTTAAAAAACATACATACACTACTGCTCAAACGTTTGGGTAAAAGACACTTATAATGTTACAAGTGTTTTCTATTTCAAATAAATGCTGTTATTTTGATCTTTCTGTTCATCAAAGAGTCCTGAAGAAATCCATCACGGTTTTCACAAAAATATTAAGCAGCACAACTGTTTTCAACATTGATAATTATAAGATTCTGAAGGATCATGTGACACTGAAGACTGGAGTAATGATGCTGAAAATTCAACTTTGATCACAGGAAAAAATTATATTTTAAAATATATTAAAAT